CACAAATTTCTGCTCTTCTTCAAGAAGGATTCTCTTTCCATTATATCACATCAAAAGAATATATTGCGCGATCTTTTGTTATCCAATTTAAAAAAATAGAAACTACTGGTTCTATAAAAAATTTACCAAAATCTACCCCTCCACGATTTTTTACAGATCATGCTGAACGCAATATTATACGATATATTTCGAGTGGTGAATGTTTTAATTGTATCGGTTCAAAAAAATTACAAACTAATAATAAAATCAATGTAAACAATATTACTATAAGAAGAACTTTACATAAAAATGGTTTTTCTGCTAGAGTTAAATGAAAAAACCATATCAAAAATTGTGTGTAAAATTTGCTAAGAAATACGTACAATGATTGGATTGTGGATGATTGAAACAAGGTGATTTGGTCAGATGAGAATATATGGATAGATGATCATGAATATTGTTGAAAATGCAAAAATGATACTAGATGATTGTTACATGTATATAAGATCTACAGTAAAATTTGGTGACTGAAGTATTAAAATCTGGTGTGCTTTTCTTCCTTCGGCGTTGGTAACATCGTACGCATTTTTGGCACCATGAATAAGAAACTATACTGCAAAATTTTGAATGATGACTTGTTAGGAACTATCGTGTATTACAAGTTAGATAAGAATGATATCATTTTCCAACAGGATAACGATCCAAAAAATATGGCTAATTTAATGGAACAATGGTTTTATGATATTGATGCATTAGAATGGCCATCACAATCTCCTGACCTCGAGCTTATAGAACATCTCTGGAACGAGATGGATATACGTTTGAGAAGATTAGAAAATCCAGTTCGTACTCAAGATGAGTTATGAGAAGCTATTCAAAAAATATGGAGAGAAACGGATCATGACTTTTTAACTAGTCTAATTGAAAGTATGCCCGAATGAATATATGATGTAATTGAGGCTAAAGGAGGTATACAGAGTGGTAAAGAATTGTTTATTTAAATTTCGTAAAATTTTAATCATTTGTTATTTGAATATGGTGTATAAAATCTAAAGTCATCAAACGTTTGTATTTTATAAAATGGATAAACTTCTTTAAGAAGTAAATACAAAATTTAATCCGTGAATATGATAGAATAGGCCTTTTCTGAGCATATTCACGGATTAAATTTTGTATTTATTTCTTAGTAAAGAGGTTTATCTATTTTATAAAATACAAACGTTTGATGACTTTAGATTTTATGCACCATATCGGCTTTAAATTATTTACATTGTAAAACAGTAAAAATAACGCATCATGTAAAATTGCATCGATCATTATTTAATTTACTGATTATTAACGTTAACGTTAACCAAGTAAAGAATTAAATTTACATGTTTTGCAAAATACATGTAATATGTGTCGGAATTTGTGAGTTTCAGATGTTTGTCTGTAATGTTATTCAACTTCTAATTTTATGCAAATCATTTGCCGTTATAAATTTACTCGATCTGCAATTCTTCCTTTTCAAGCCTCATGCATCTGATATTCTCTTTTGAACTCATGCTCTTTTTTAACACGCACTATGTATAGAGATATATGGTTCTTTTAATACACATAAACTATCGTTTATTTTACTGTCATTTCAAACTACACATAATCACTATATTTATTGTAACAAATTAATTTATAAAACCGAATTGTCTGGCGAAAATAAAGGTCAGTCTAATAAAAGAAAATAAAAGAGTAACTTGTTTAAATTGTTCATTATTACCTCTTTTTATGCTTTTATAATTTGCTTTAAATCACATAATTTTAACGCAATTTCACGTTTATCTGTATCAACTCGTTCAAATGTATTCACTCCGTGATCTCACTCGTATCGATGCAGAGATGCTTTATAAAATGTCCCCTTGCAAGTTATTTAACATCAGTGTTAGTGATCTTTCAAAAGAATCCGTTCCAAAGATGAATATTCCTGATTTCAACGTATTTTAATAAACTTAAGCTTTTCAAAAATAGATTCAGACTGCCCTAAAGTTCGGTGATCATACTTTGGAATAAGTTATTATAGAAGTACGAATGAATACTTGATAGTAATGGGTTCAAAAATGGGTATTTACTAGGGCTCCGAACGGTTCGGTAAAAACCGTTACCGATCGGTCGGCAAACCGATCGTTTCGGTAAATTTCGGTAAACTATTCGAAACACTTGTTTCGAATAATTACGGTAATTACCGACGGTTTACCAAAATGTTGATCAATGAAACAATACACTGTTAACGTAAACGTTAACGTTAATAATTGATTAATCAAGGGTTTGAAAGATTCTGAAAATTTTATTCGTGAAATTGAAGTAAAATTGACTATACTGCCAAGTTTTAACACATTAAATGCTAATAATTAAAAATTTATAAAATTTTGCACATTGCGTCACGAGATATTATGCTAAACGTAAATAAATTGTTACAACGCATTTAAGCGATTTATTTGCGTTTCGGATAATATCTCGTGAAGTAATGTGCAAAAATTTATGAAACTTTACCTATGCGTAGAATAGAACCCAACCAATATTTTTAATTAATAGCAGTGAGTGTGTTAAAACCTGACATTATGGTCGATTTTACGTTCAAATCTCACGAATTATATTTTATATCACAATTATCGAAGTTTACCGAATTACCGTCGGTAGTTACCGATCGGTAATTAGAAGATGTCGGTAATTAACGAACCGTTACCGAAAATCTCGGTAAAATAACGGTTCGGTAAATTTCGGAGCCCTAGTATTTACACAATATATTACTTCTAATTACGAAGAATTGACTCGGAGAAAAATTAAGTCATTAGTTTATCGGAGATCGAGAAACTTGTGCATTTGACTTTCATCCTAGAAATATACAGTCACTCTCTCCGTAGTGTAGAAGGTAAAAGTCCACTATAACGAGAGATCCTATAAAGAGATAAAAAAATTTATGTGTATTATTAGATATTAGTGATTGTGTGTAGATACGTACAGTACCCCAAAAAGTAACGCCCGGTTTTTTGATTTTATAATAAAACTTTTTTTCATTTTAAAAATTGCAATAAGTCTTGTATCATTTTTTCAAAATTATAATTGATGAACTTTAAGATTATATAAGATTAAGAAATACATAAAATTTTTATTTTATAATCAGTTCTTACATTTTAAAAGTCTTGTATCATTTTTTCAAAAAATACAATCAATTAGTTTTAAAGTTATATAAAATTTAGAAATAATTATTCGTTCACTAGGACAAATATCTCGACGTTTAGTGAGCAAAATACCACCATTTGATTTGCCTAAATTAGAAAAATCGGATGATACATGTATATAGTATTTTCACTCAAATTGGATCACTAGACGTCGAGATACGTATTGTGTCCTAATTCATATTTGTCGATCAATTTTTCATTAGAAATTGATCGCCAAAAAATGAATTGATGTATATCTCGATTTGGATCACTGGAGATCGAGATAATATCCTAAATTGGCTGAATTAATTAGACTCCAAAAAAATGAATCTGATACTTTAAGACGTAATATTTCGACGACTAGTGATCCGATTTAAACAGAAATACTACCATTTGATTCACCTCGACTGGATGAATCGAATGGTTGTTATTTGTTCAAATCGGATCACAGAACGTTAAGAATTAGATTATTGAATATTGAGATGTATGTTCTGAAATAACTGATTGTACATGTTCGCATTTAGAACGTGAACATACAACACCCGATATAGAAGCTTATCAATTTATAAAAGGTATCAACGATCAGCATTTGTATGTACGTAATGTTCTTTGTGCTCAGAAAATTTTAGTACATTACACATGATCTATGGAAAGTTAAGGGTACGTTACTTCTGACGAGCACTGTATGAAAATAACACACACGTTACCAATATGCTATAACGATAATAACGATACCAATTTCTCAAGCATACCGATACGTGAAAAATGAAAATCAATATAAATGTATACATGTACGCATACATGCATTAACAATTGCAAGTGAGTAACACCAATGATAAAATAAATGAATTTTAATTAATATACATGTACATGTAACTGTATGCGTTAACACAGTCGATAAACAAAAGCAACCACTGCGCAATGGACAAAAATTTAAAGTAGTTACCGTTTTCCTTTAACAAATGTACATGCTACACTTTTTATATTTTATATTTTGTATTATGTATTAAACATCCTTCCCCATCACCTCTCAAATGCCATAAAATCCTGTAAAATTGGACCCTGAGGTTGTGAAGAACTGTTGGCTAAATGTCACTGCAGTTTTGCAAGCTAATTGGTGCTCATATTCATTCCTGTGAACGATATACATGTAATAACTTTCTTCATAAAAATATTTAAATTTCAAACATTCACTTTTTGAAAAATTTCCATGAAATTTTGTGGCACAGCAACCAAAATACATTTTGCTATGGCTTTTATATAATTCAGTGAAACAAGGAAAGTACGCTGCTGCTTTTGTACATGTATCTTAAACTGTCAAGGCGGGTGCATTATTTATAAGATTAATTTGATACCACATCAATAACGATAAATATGAAACGAAGGATAACATCCACATGTTACTAATTATAACCGAACTGGTCGGCTACGCCAAACACAAATACGCGCAAACCAATAAGAATGTGATTTACCAGTGGCACAGACCAATAAGGAAATACGGAAAATATGTACTATAAAAAATGCTGGTGAGACAATTTGAAATACATGTATAACTTTACTCCCACTCTAACCCTAACCCTATCTCTATCAACTTTGGGTAATTTTTATAGCTGCGTCACTGGCACACGTTTCAGGTGTGCACAAATACATGTACATGTACTTCGCTTGTTGACAGCCAGAAATGTTATTGAAATGTACGCACCTATAAGATACATGTATATATAACGGACTATGAGAGTATTTCTGCGTTAATATTGACAGTAGAAATACCTTAGGATAATTAACTTTTGCAAAAACTCAACACGTTTTATCCGTGTATTGATTGAAATCATGTCTGTTAGCCATATAAGCATCTTATTATTGGGCTTTTTCACTGCGTCGGTTTTTCCATGTACTCCCAATAATTTTGACGGGAATTATATCGCAATAAGATTAGCTGGAGTGGTTAATAATTGGCGAGTGAATATAGCAGGTGGTCAAATGTAAGAGACGTGTAAAGGTATATTTGTCGTATAAACAACCTTCGACTCTATTTTAACAACTAGGTATATTCAAAATTTAACAGCGGTGAAAACGCGAAAATTATCACTTGGAACAGCGGCGCTCAACCAGCTCCAAACGAAATTTTCATGATAATACAGCCGACGCGTGGAGTTTTTGAGCTTCTCCCGTTTCTCAGTTTCTATCGAGAGTATGGTAATTGGCAACCACTTACTTCCCTAATGAAAACTTGATTCTATTTATCTGAGAAAAATTTGCCATTTGCTTCATCACAATATAGCCATTGGGATACCAAGTAGCAATATCAATGACACTTTCACATTGCAAAGGAGGTTAGTGACTCTATATATATATGTATATGCATAATTGTATAAACTTTACAAACAATCTGGCTAAATATATCGATTTTTCTTTCCCTAAAGAACCAATTCTAGTACGCAACAATTCACTTTCGACTGTGATACTTGTGACATCCAAACAAATTCTCAGAGCTGGACACAATACCACACTTCATGTAATATAAAGGTAGGGAATTCAAATTTCGAACAATTTAACAATAACAGTTTGCCCAATTGGCAGTCCTAAGAATTGCTGTACGTTTTCAAACATAGAATAGCGGCTACGGTTTTTGTATGACTGGTACCGACTATAGTAATGCTGTGAATCAGACTTTTTGTACAGCTGCGAGCAAATGGGATCTTTGGGGGTATGTTAAATTATTTGAATTCAACGATTACCTACTCGACAATCAAAATTTAGTTATCTTTAAATTTCAACAGAAGGATATCACCTGATATTGTCAATATTACTAACTCTAAGACCCCATCGAATATTCAAAATTCCACGTTCTCATGGGTTTCCGGCACATCGGCCCCAGCACCTAACAACGTAAAAGAGTCTCCTGGTGTTCAACTATCATCAGGTGCACTTGTAGGCATAATTGTGGGATCTTGCGCGGTTACGGCGCTTATTGTTCTTTTAGTAGGGTATTGGTTTTTCCGCCACCGACAAAAATCTATCAAGAACGTTGATAACGTTGATGGCTTTGATCACGCCAATATTCAAATTCTCAATCCATAACGATAGCGATAATATATTATTATCGAGAAATATGTGCTTGTTTCTCATTTCTTCCAGATTGAGCTAATTACCAAAACGGAACAAATAACGGCCGGGTCCGTAAGGCATCTGTGAGCGGCAACATCTCGTCAACCTGAGATCAGATTTTGCGATCTTTGAACGTTAATATCTCCGTCTCGATCAGGCAAATCAAATGAATCAAAGTTACCCAATCTTTTTTCATCATGTCCTTTAAAAATTAACAAGTAAAAATCACACGATTAATGTGTATCTAATTTTAGTTATTGCGTAATTGGTCATATGTTTTGTGATATGCTCAAATTTTTTGATGGACACGTGACCCGTATGTATATCTACATGTATTCAGTCGAAATTATTATTTACGTTTTCTTTATTTCCGCAACTATTGGGTTATTGAAATTGGCGATTAAGATGGTTGTTCTTTTGTATAATTGGCACAATACGTATGTCAATTACATTTTTGTTACTTAATCCCGTAAAAAATTTAAATCAGTTGTGTGTATATTTTATGAATTCTAATTTAAAAGAGCTACGAGATTCATAGTCTGTAAACGTGCACGATGACTTATACTCACCATATAAAAAAAAGCAAACATGTAAAAATTACAGAAATTTCAAAGAATGGTACGTATAAGCATGGAGAACCGACAAATTCCGTATATTTAACTATACGGAAATCGTGTGAATTTGAATTTCGTGTTTATGCGTATGGCTCCGTGTCAAAAAAAACGTAATTATATACAGTCAAACCTCGATATAACGAACCTCTTGAGCTGGAAATTTTTTCGTTATATCGAGTTTCTTTATGAAACCTCGCTATATAGAGGTAATTATAAAACAAAAGGTCTTTTTATATCAAGGATTTCGTTATATCCAGGTTTCGTTATACATGTATCGAGGTTTGACTATATGGAAGTTGTAGCATTTTACGTATTAATGCAAAGTCATTTGGTCGATCCCTTGCAATTTCCGTGGATTAATTTTTAAATTGGGCAAAATCTTTTTATAATAACACAGTTTAAAAACTTAAAAGTCAGTTCCAAACGTACGTTTTATAACTAATATGACAAATAATTATTGTAATAAAGATATACTTCTCTTAAAGCATACTCTTGGAACTGTCGCTATAAATTCACTTAAAATTTTTCAAAGTGTGTTACTATCACGAGTTTAATTACTTTTTTACCTTCTACATGTAGTTTGTCGTTGCCACTAGTAGTGCTGTCAACTTTATATGCCCAATTGTTTTCGACCACTAATACATCACTTCCTGTTTTACAAATTCTAAAATTAGAAGAATCTTGTTTACAGGATCAAGTATAATTGAAATATAGGTACCAATTTGCTTTGAAGGTGAAAGCATTGTTTTAAGCGGAAAATTTGTAAGCTGTACAATATCAGAATTCTTTTCACATAAGTTTTGAAGTTTCACAGCTATATGTTAGTCGCAGGTAGAAATTTTATTGGTTCGGTGATAATAATATTATATTATTATAAGTAATAATTATTATCTTGATAACTGCGTGCATCATAGAAAAATGTAGTGCTATCGCTATGCGTTTGTATGGGTTTCGACTTTTTTTGGAATGTTTTGAAGATATGCTTTTATTTTTTATCGAATTTAAGAGTCCCTATTTATAAGAAAATATTAATATTAATATTAGTGTAATTTATATTTCTAAAAAAAGAATTTCTAATACATTAACCTATTCCTAATTCTAGAGGGTGGCGGCAGAATACGATATATTGTTGTTTATTCATGGATTTACAATAAAATCAGAGGTGGTACTTAGTAGGTTAATTAAATTTTTTACACATGTATCTCATCAAGCGATGGACGAGACTCATTAATAGTTATAAATAAAATTCCGAAAGCCTGTGAACTCTTCACACTTAATGATATAAATTAATGAGTAATCATCGCCTGTGCTAGGCGATATATTATCCTGTAGGATGGGGTGTAGGATTTTATCCCATATTTTTGGATCCAGGTTAATATCCTTGCATCGTTAACATTAAGATTTTTATTACGAAATTAATTGGTCAAATCTAAAAGAAAAACTAAATAATTAACCAATTTTCTGCGAAACTGACACTTTTTGCACCATAAAAAGATGTTATTTCAGTTTAAGGAGATTAAGTTCTTACGTTCAATATATATTATTGCAAATAGAAATAATTAGTATTACTATTTTGTATTATTTTGCGTCTCAGAAAAGTCAATACGTAGTATTGTTTTTATTATGTGTGTTTCAGGAACAATTGTGATAAGTTAATATCTTCGTTTTAATAAAAATAACACCAAAGTATCAACAATACTCCTTTTGAACCAAGTTAAAATTTTAAATAAACCTTCGATAATATAACGTATTTTTTGTGATTAAATCCTTTATAGCTTAAATTATTGGATATATTGGATGGCTTTAGACTGTTTTCACCATATTAATGTTCTAAGCATATAGATTCAACATATGGGGTGGGTGGAGTGGGACAAATTGATAAATTTATAATTTTCTGATCATTGGATTTTAATTCCAGTCGTTATTAATTGATCTATATAAAATAAAAACTTTGAGAGAACAGAACTAATTTTTTATTATATAAATAAGTGTTCACAATTATACAAAAATATGATTTATATATTTATATTAATATTAATATATTGGATGCAAAACCCATTTTTGAAAAAAAAATTGATTTGTCTCTTTTTAACCATATTTTGAAATATGTTATACATAATATTAAGTCTTTTTAATAACTCGTTAAAAAGCTATAGCAAAATTACACTAGCATATGATATTTCAAAAAACCAATAATTTGCACAAAGACTTGTAGCCTTAAAATGGTTTGAAGCATGTTATACTAAAATTTTAAATTTTTGATCACTGCCTAAACATAATTAGTAAGTCAATAACGCAGTAATTAATAAAAAAACTCGTATAGATGTTCTAAGTTTATAGATTCAAAATAGTCTTGAATATGCAATATAAAATTTCAACAACTTTTATAATAGAATTTATTCTTCATAAATAATAACGAGGTACTAATGGCAGAACATGCTTTGATGCTATAATTGAATAAATGCCGCATGTTCTGCAGTATGTTATAATAAATTTCAAGCTTAATTAATAACGTTACAGTGAAAATACATTTGCACAGAAAAAATTATTTTGAATAATATTTTAATGCATTTTGCCATACGACTATAAAAGCTTGAAATTTTAATATAACATACTACAGAACATTTCAAATTGATGCCAATGCATTTGTCCGGTGACTTTGTCCGCCGAGAGTAGCAACAGATTATAAGCATTAAAATAGAACTTTCGAGCTTACATTCAATTATCTTCTATGTACTATTAATAATGTTTTATTTTTAGTTTGCAGCCATACTGTTAATCAGTTGAATTTAATTTTATCCACATGTCTAATTTATAGAATAAATCAAAGACGCTTCTTTTAATATGTCAAATGCTTCCTTATCCAGAGGTACAAATGGGAAGCCATATATAGTTTTGAGATGCTTATGTACGAATAATCGGTGAGCGACTACGACTATTTGGTGAGTGGTGTCATGATAAATATCCTGTATGTGAAATCTATAAAGGAGTACGACTTAAGAAATCAAATAATATTCTGTGATGGTGCAAATTTGTTATTGAAAATGTTGGGATCCTGTTCCAGAAAACAGATCAAGCATTTATACAGTGGGGGGATAGGATAAGATATCCACTTAGATGGCATCATATCAAGTGTTACAACTTAAAATAATTTAACAAAATAATAACTTTTTAATTTGATTAAATTTTCTTTTTCTTTCTTGAGATATAAATTTGTGAAATTACAACTTTTGACGTTTACTAATATCGATATTATATTATAACATAAAGAGTTCTGGTTGGTCAGATTGATTATTATATGTATGGTGCATAACATCTAAAGTCATCAAACGTTTGTATTTTATAAAATGGATAACTTCTTTACTAAGAGGTAAATACAAAATTTAAACCGTGATTATGATAGAATAGCCCCTTTTCTGAGCATATTCACGGATTAAATTTTGTCTTTACTTCTTGGCAAAGAAGTTTATACATTTTGTAAAATACAGATGTTTGATGAATTTAGATGTTATGCACCATACGTACATGTATATAAGATCTACAATTCATAATTGGCATTATGGCACAGTACGTATCGGTATTGGATATCATGCAAAAACAAAAAATGCAATTTACATCAACCGATGTATTCCATCTTTATGGGTTTACGAGTTTATTTTATAAACTTTTTTAATGATGTGCTGTGTTTATTTAAATTGGATAAAAAATATGCTTACGATAAGATGCATTTAATCGAAATTTTCTTTATATTATCACTGTTTGCATCGGATAATCGTTATTTTATAAAAGTATCTTATGATTATTTCACTTTTCGCAATTACCTTATTTTTGTTGATTAATGGAAGTTCAGATTAAATACTCATTTATCTATTATTTTTGCTTTATTGTAACTTTTATTTAGAATAAATTAATTTGAGATTGGTTCTAAAAATTATTAGAATCGATTCCTATTTCTAAATAGAGATAATAAAAACCAAACTAATACATACACTACAGAAAAACTGCGCAGCACTGCTATACAATTTTATTGGACCTACTCCGTAATTAGCGCAAGTTTGGAATTTATAATAATCCCGTGTATATTTTCGGAACTAGTTTAGGTGAGCTCTATATCCGTTCCAGGAATTCCATAAAATTCCGTAGCATCAGCAAATTCATGGAGCAAAATATGCAATATCTAAGATTATTTACTCTGAGCTTCCGTTTAATTAAGGTAATCAGTGAAAAAAGGAAATTTTGAAAAAGTGAAATAACCTTAAGATCATAGTGTGCATAACATCTATACGTATTTTATAAAATGTAAATACAAAATTTAACCGTGGATATGCTCAGAAAGGGCTTATTCACGGACTGAAATTT